TTTTTTTCAAGGGTTGGTAATACTTTTATTTTTATTATTATTTTAAATTGTTTAAAAAGAAAAAAAAAGGTTTACAAAATTTTTTTACTCGTATGTATACCTTTTTCCCTTTTTTTTTTTTATAGTAAGTTTTAAATAAAGCTTGAAAGCTCGTTTTGTAAAATAATAATAATAATAATGATAATAATAATTCGACTTTATGGAAAAAAAAGGAAAATTCTTTTTAATCTTTTTTTTTTTTCTTTTTTGTTTGTTTGTTTTGGGTAAAGACTCTCGTTAATATTACACGACGACCGTTAAAAGAATAAAGTAAAATCCATCGAGATAAATTAAAAGAACTTGATTTTTGTTTTGTGGGGGGAAGGAGGGAGGGGTAGAATAATTATGTTTTAAGCTTTTTAAAATCTCTTGCTAAGTCATAATGATAAATTATTATTATTATTATTATTATTATTATTTTTACGTAAAGAAATGAAAAAAAAATTTATGTATGGATATTAAAGGGAAAAAAAGGAATAAAATAAAAAAATTTTTTTTTTATTAATTTATTAAAAATTTTTTTTTATAGTAATTAAAATAAAATATTCTACATCCACGTGGTCGTGGTCGAAGAATATTAAATTTATATTTGTGTGTGTGTGGCATCGTTTTTTTTTTTTTTTAAATTAATAAAACAGAAGTTGTAAAAAGTTGTAATTTTTTTTTTTTTTTTTTTTTAGTTTGACGAACGTGTCAATAAACTTTTTATTTAATTATAAATAATTTAAAAAAAAAAAAAAGAATGATTTATTCGTCGTGTCTTTTTGCTTGTTTCCCACGTGATTTTATCGTGGTTGTACTATTCGACTATTACAACCAGTAATTAAAATCATCTATCGTTGATAAATTAATTTTTTTTTGTTTCTTACGAAAATTTAATCGTGTCAATAACAAAAAATATGTAACGTTCTCAAGAAGTGGCAACAGAAAAATAGATGAAGTGGATTCAGGGTTGAAAAACGACAGAGATTGAAATTATATTGAAAAATGAAAGAAAAAAAGAATGAAAAAATATATATATGTTAGGGGATGATTTTCTGGTTGTGGATTTGAAGAAAGGTCAGAACAATTTATCTACCCCCTCTTCCCCCTTCTTTTCCACCCTCCACCCCCAACTCTCTCCATGAGGATATATACACATCGTGATTCACACGATTCATTAAACAAAAACTACGTCAAATTAGCTCGAAGATTACGTCATTAAGATTTACAAATGGTTTGGGGTAGTAATAATAATAATAATAATAAGAGAAAGAAAGAAGATGGGAATTTGACATGAGAGAAAAGGAGAGAGAAAAGATATCCAACACCACCATTCGTCGTGCTCCATATTCTTCTTCTACCACCCTTTTTTTTTTCAAATAACTATTCCCTTCGTTTTATATTCATCCCTTACAAAAATTATTTTCTCTCTCTCTCTCACTCCCACTCTCTCACTCTCTCTCTCTCCCTTTGTTTTTTTCTCCGAACGATTTTTGTACAAAACGAACGACGATAGACCGTGTCAAAATGGCTTTCCTTAATTAATTTTCATTCCTGTTAATTTCCTGTTGGAAAAAACGGTCATTGGTCTTTCACATATTGAAAAATTCACACGTTTTCATCTTTTTTTTTTCCGGGGAAGAAATGAAAAGAGGGAAGAAGAGGAGGAAGGGAACCGAGAGGAGGAGAGAGAGAGAAAGATGAGAAAAAATAAATTTTAATTTTTTTTGGCGGTCAACTTTTGTCACATGAATTTTCTCATTAATTATTAAATTTTTTTTTCTTTTTTTTATAATTGCATTTAATATCTTTCGTCCTTTTCTTCTTCCAAAAAAAAAAAAAAAAAAGGAAACGGAAGTTAAAGAGGGGGGGTTTTGATCAGGTAGATAAATTATTACCGAGTAGATAATATAAATTACTCGAGTGGAGAGGGGCGGAAGAAAAAGGTATAAAAAAAAAAGATTTGGAAAGTGTTAACAATTTTTTAAAGGAAAAGATTAAAAACCGGAAGTTAATAGCAGGGATTTTTTTTTTTAAATTTTCAAAAACCGGAAATTCATTTACTTGAAACCGAAAATTTTTTTCTTTTTTTTTTTTTTTTTTTTTTGCCCAATCTCTTAACGACCGTTATTAATCAAAAAAAAAAAAAAAAAATTTTTTTAAAATATCTTTTTGATTAATTTAAAAAGTGATTACGATTCATTTAAGATTTTTTTTTTTCTTCGCCATACTTCCGTCGGCCATTTTTCTATTTATTTATCCCCACCCATAAATATATATATTTATTAATAAAATATTTAATTTTGTTATAAAAAAATAAATAAGGGGATTTACTTTTAAAAAACAAGGAAACCAGGGGAAACAATATATCAAAATTCTAAAATCCCCCCCACCCGTATTTAACGGGAAGTAAAAAGAGTAAATAATATTTTGGATACACTAAATGAAATTTAAAACTTATTAACTAACTACTAAAACTAAGAAGATTAGTATTCAAGATGGCGGAAAAAGGAACGGAAAGAAAACAAAAAAGAAAAAAAAATGTAACTTCCGTATCCTATTTTTTGTACGTATAAGAAAATTTAAATTTTCTATAAGAAAATATTAATTTTTTAATTTTTTTTTTTTTTCTAAAAAGGAAAAATCGTGGAATTAGAATTCTAAAAAAAAAAAAATTAATCGATTAATTAATTAATTTTCCTTGCGCTTCTTTTTAAAAATCGAATCGTTATTAATTAATTAATTTCGAAAAAAAAATAATTTTACGAATTTTTTTTTTTTATTAAAGTGGCAGAAGAAAATTGAAAATTTTTAATTTATCTAAACGGATCAATCGATAATATTAACGTTTTGAAATAAATAAATAAAATTTTTTTTCTCTCTCTTTCTCTCTCTTTCCCTTCCCGCAATAACAATTTTCTAAACACGTACAAAATTTATTTTCTGTACTTTTTTTTTTTATTTTTTTATTTTTTCAATTAAATATTATTAAGATAAAGTGTCAGCAGATAAAATTATTTTTATATACATTTACAGCAAATAAATATTTATAGATACATTTTTTTTAAAATTTATTATTATTATTATTATTATGTTTTTTTTTATCGATTTTCGTCGGGAGAAATTTTTTTTTTCCTGGAAAAAGTTGCCAAAAATTTTTTTTTAAATATGTGACGTCACAAATATGAAACAAAAATAAAAAGGAAGAAGGGGAACAAATATTTACGAATAATAATATAAATATTAATGAATTTTTTAATTCGAATGGATTTTAAAAACGGGAAAATTAGTGATAATAATAATAATAATAATATTGGAGTCGGTGTGATAAGACGAGCGAACAGATATAAGGATTTTCTTTTTTTTTTTTTTGTAAAAAGAAGATAAAGATAAGTTAAAGAGTTGAGATTATCTCAAATATTTATATGTATGAGGCTGAGTGAGGCGGATAAGGAATTAATCTCGTAGAAAAAAATATATAATCTTTATATGACGATGTTGAATCGATTTGCTGCATCTTTAAAAAAATTTTTTTTTTGGAAGGGAAGTGGAGGGGGAAGGCGGAAAGGGGGAGGGAGAGAGAGAGAGAAAATGAAATGAACATAATAATAAAAACGAATTTTAAAGAAACCGCAAAAATTATTATTTGTGGTTTGGTAATTTTATTGTTATGGTCAAATGGGGGAAAATATTCACGAACGGTTGTAGTTTATTTCCGGTTTTAGAACGAGGAGGTCAGCTGCTGCTGCTGCTGCTGCTGCGATATTATCTGCATATGTGTGAACAAATTGCATTTTATCTACTCCTCCTCTTCCTCCTCCTACTACTCTTCTACTTTTCCTCTCTTCTTACATTCTACACAATTGAAACCGTATCGATAGGGTAGATAGTACCGTAGGATATTTAAATAGATTTATTGTAACGCCATCGTGAAAAAAGAGAGAGAGAGAGAGAGAAAAAACAATATTAAAAATCTGTTTATCCTTTTTTATTTTTTTTTTTGACAAACATTAAATTTTGTTTTTTTTAATTATTGTTTTTATGGTGCGATTTTTAAAAAAAACTGGAAACAGGGAGGACAACACTAGAAAGGAGGTCCCCTCTCATTTAAAAAAAAAAAATTTTCTCGTTTGTTTATTGCATTAAAGAAAAAAAAAATATTTTTTGAATTTTTTCTTTTTTAACGTTCGTTTTTCTCTCTCTCTCTCCCTCTCTCTTTCTCTCATTAAAACGAACAAATAATAATAATAATAAAAATTGTGTCCCCTCATCTTATTTTTCTCTCTTATTACAAGATGACAGGTCTTTTGATGATGAATCCGTTGGACCTGCACATGCAATTATACCATCTGCTTCCACGTCTTAATTATCTTACGAGGAAGAGGGCTTTTTATTCTTGACATATAAAAGACCCCTCGTACGACGGGTCGGTCAATAAGTTAAGATTGTTTTTTATTCGAATAAATAGAGGGAATGTGGGAAAGGGTGGGGGGGATTTTTTTTTTTTTTTAATTGAAGCGTGCTTTGAATTTTCTCTACTGTTTTTCTACCCTTCGTATGTTTTTTTCTTCTAATGTCACTTCATTCTTTCATTTGAAACCTTCGTGTCCTTTTGCCCTTAAATCGTTTAAATAAAAGAAATGCTTTTCCCATTCTTAGTTTAATTTCATTGGATCATCCTTCTTTTTCCTCCTACTTCTTCTTCTTGCATACATCACCTCTTATTTTTCCTTGTCTATCTTTCTCTCTCTCTCTCATTTTATATACTACAATTCCCCGAAGGGATTTTCACATTCCCCAAAGGTTTTGATTATTATTATTTTTTTTTTTTGTATTTTTCACGGGGCGTTAGATAATGGCCACAGGATGAAGTTCTTTTCGGTGTTTGAAGATTAGTGAGTAATTCAATCAATAAAACCGGGAATGTTTTGGGGTTATGAGATTTTAAGACGAATGTTTTAGAGGGATGTTTTTATTTTATGGCACGTGTGTTTAGATATACACACACGCGCACACACGCACGCACACTCACACACACGCACATAAATTTACTTTTTTTTTTCTCTTTCTTTCTTTTAGTTTTGAAAGATGAATTCCGTGTCGAACCCAAACATACGAGGGTGGCAGCTGGAGAAACGGCTTTGCTTACGTGCGGAGCTCCAAAAGGTTTTCCAGAACCGATTGTCGAATGGAAAAAAAATTCACAAACTATTAATTTGGACGATCCACGAAAAATTCGAATCGTCGACGGTGGTAATTTAATGATAAACGATGTTAAACAAACGGACGAGGGAAAATATCAATGCATAGCTAAAAATAAAGTGGGAATAAAAGAAAGTAAAGTCGCCATATTGACCGTCAATGGTGAGTCGAACATTTTATTTATTTTTTGCTTTTTTTTTTACGGGGGGGAGAGAGAAGGGGTTTCGTTTGTATCTTTTTTTAAGGGTAACCATTTTTATTCGGGAAAAAAGAAAATGCCATCATTATTATCCTAATCATCATTTCTAATGCTGTTCCTCCCTTTACATGTTTCGCATTATTAACTTTTTGTGGGAAGGAAAAGTTTAGTCCGAAATTTTTTTATTTTTTATTGGAATAAATTTACGCGCACGCACACACACACGTACATCGAAATCCTCTATTTTCATAGATGTTAGACGTTTACGGCCTTAATCGTCGCATTATCATTTTATATACATATATCGAGTAGTAATAAAAGTTTTATAAAATCATCCATCATTTTTTTGTTTGTTTGATTCGTTTACGCATGCGCGCGGTCGTGTAAATAATTTAAAAATAAATATTTTTACGCTTTGTAAAAAAAAAAAAACGTGTAAAAACGTCGTGGGATCAGAGATTTTCATTACGTATATAAATTTATAAACAATTTTTTTTTTTTTTTAATTAAAGCGTTAAGTTATTACGGTGGGCATTTTAAAAAAAAGAAAATTTATACGAAACGGTAAAAAATTTTCAAATTTTTTTTTTGCTTTACGAGTTAAAATTTCTCCCTTTTTTTTTTTTTGGAAAATTTATTTTTAAAATATTTTCCGGTGCTTTTTATAAAAATAAAAAAATAAAATAAAAATGATAGTGGAAGTAGTAAGCTTTTTTGAAAATTAAAAAAAGAAAAAAAAAAAATTCATTTTGGAAAAAAGTTTTTTTTTTTTTTTACTTTATACGAAATTTATTTATTTATTTATCATTATTATTATTATTATTATTATTATCATTTTCATTTTATATATCTATATATAAAATTTACCGTTGGAATATTTATTTTACGATGATTTCGAATTTTTTCGAAGAAAAACGGGGGGGAGGAAAAAAAAGAAAAAAATTAAACGAAAATTTTTTTTTTTTTTGACTATAAAAAGCTAAAAGGAAAAATTTATTGTTTTGGCTAATGACTAAGATTTTGTTTTTTTTGGGGGGTGGGGGGAACTTTTAAAAAAAAAAAACACTTAACTAAAATATTTTAAACTATAATTTATAGGAGAATTAGTGTGATGGTTTAAACTACTGACTTTATATAAACCTAACCAAAGTTATTTATTAGTTTGGCTGTCACGGATAAAGAGAAGACGCCATTTTTTTTTTTTTTATACAAAAATTACCCGGGGTTTTGTGCGGTCGGCAGAGCTTTACCGTTTTTATCCTTTCTCTCTCTCTTTCCCGAAAATCCTAATTCTAACGGGTAATAAATTGAATGAGAGGAAGAGAGCAAATTCACAGGCAGAAAAAAAAGGAAGGAGGGATGAGAAAATAATGATAATAATAGTGTAGGGTTTTTATTGAGAGAAAATCATTATATTGAAAAAAGTATAAAAATGTTTAGTGAAATTATACTCAATATCAAATCCTCTTCACTTTATTATTATTATCATTTAAATGGGTTATTATATACCAATTGCCGAATCGTAAATTACTTTAATTATAATTTGTACCACCGGATATTACGTTTTTACGGGATTTAATTAGGTTTGGGTAGGTGGGGGGTGGTTAGGGTTAGGAGGAAGGTGAGAGGAAGAAAATTTATTTTTTTTTATTCCGGGGTTTCAGTCAAACCTTTTTTCAATAAGGAACCGACGGATGCGACGGCACTCATTGAAGAAAGTGTTAAATTTCAATGTAAAGTCGAAGGGGATCCTACACCTAATATTATATGGAGAAAAGATGATGGTAAATTACCAAGCAGAAGAGCACACACTCTTGAAGACCACAGTTTGATGATAGAACATGTTTCTTTAGAAGACGAAGGTATTTACATATGCGATGCTGAAAATGTTGTTGGTAAAATATCCGCGAGAGCATCCCTAACCGTTCATTGTAAGTTTAAATACCGAATAAGATTATTATTATTATTGTTTTTTTATCATTTGATAAAGGAGGAAAATTTTATTTTTAAAGCTCCACCAACATTTATCAGAAAACCACAAAATCAAAAAGTCGGACTCAATGGTATTGCAACATTTGAATGCGTTGCCAAAGGAAATCCTCCTCCGTCGGTTTTTTGGACGAAAGAAGGATCACAGGTTCGTTTTTTTTTTTTTTTTTTTAAATAAATACGTTTGGGGTTTTTAACGTAATAATAATAATTTTTTATTTAGGATCTCATGTTTCCCGGAAATGCATACGGTAGATTTCATATCACTCCCGAAGGTTCGTTGCGAATTCAGGGAGCTCAAAGAGAAGATTCTGGATTTCTTGTTTGTTCTGCTCTTTCCGTTGCCGGTTCGGCAACCGTACGAGCATTTTTACAAGTAACTTCCGTTGCTGATGTACCACCTCCGATTCTTGATTTCGGACCGACAAATCAAACGCTTCGTTACGGTGAAGTAGCATCATTATTATGCCAGACGAGTCAGAAAGATGCCAAAATAAAATGGTATAAAAATGGAAATCCTTTAGACGAAGGAAAAGAAAGATTTCACATAAAACCATCCGGAACTCTTTTAATCGACAGTAATTAATTTTTTTTTCTTTCTCACGTGACCTCACGTTTCCTTCTGACATATTTTTATTTTTATTTTTTTTTTGCGATTTTTCCAGGTTTGCAAACTTCGGATTCTGGTCATTATACTTGCACGGCTTCATCGGAAAGCGGTGAAACATCTTGGTCGGCATCTTTGACTGTGGATCGGGGAAGTTCAACATCAACAATACACAGAACTCCAGATCCTAGTACTTTTCCACTTCCGCCGTTAAAACCAATGGTATAAAACCGGAAATCCTAATCGATTTTAATTTTTTTATTTACAAATTCATTTCCTTTACAAAACTGAGTTTTTTTCAGATCTTAAACGTGACGGAATCCAGCGTAAAATTAGCATGGAAAAACAATCCGGAAAGGAGAGAAAACGAACCGACATTAATCGGATATACTATTGAATATTTTAGTTCTGATCTTCAGACGGGTTGGGTCGTTGCAGCACATAGAATCTTATCAGAATCGATAACGGTACGTCCTTCATATCAAACAAAAAAAAAAAAAAAGAAAACAATGAAAAATAAAAAAAAATTTTTTTTAGATAACGGATTTGAAACCGGATACAAATTATATTTTTCTCGTACGATCGGAAAATTTAAATGGTTTATCACCTCCTTCGCCATTGTCTGAACAAGTTAAAACTCTCGGTGGAGATTTACGAGCAGTTTCAAAATCGGAATTAGACGAAGCTCGATCTAGACTTAGTACAAAAGTTGTAGAATTGAAGCATATCGAAGCCATATCTTCAACTTCTGTACGATTAAATTGGAAGGTGACTTTTCCTCTTTTCTTTTTTCTTCTTTGAAATTTTCTAAACGATTTTCCATCGTCTGACGTCATTCGATACATTTTTTTTCCAGATTTTAAATGCTCAAGAATTCGTTGAAGGTCTTTACGTTAGATTTCGTGATCTTTCCGTGGTTCTCAAAAATACAACATGATGATTGTATTAAAAACGGGAGCTACAAGTTATTTAGTTTCTAATTTGAAAAAATACTCAAAATATGAATTTTTCTTAGTGCCTTTTTATAAATCCGTCGAAGGACAGCCTTCAAATAGTCAATCAGTTCAAACATTGGAAGATGGTACCTGATTTCAAATTTTTGTCTTTTCTTTGTAAATAAGAATTCTCGTTTTGTAATATATAAATATATATATATATAATTTTAGTTCCATCAGCACCACCTGATAATATTCAAATCGGTATGTTAAATCGTACATCGGCCTATGTTCATTGGTCTCCTCCACCTCCGCAACATCACAATGGTGTCATTTTGGGTTACAGGGTAATTACCACACGCACACGTTTTTCACATTTATAAAGTTGTTTTGGGGGGCGGTACACGCCCCTGAAAAATATTAATTATCATTTAAAATTTTTTTTTTTTTTTTACAGATACAAATAAAAGGAAACAGCAGTAAAATCCTTGCTCAAATGTCTTTAAATTCACCAAAAACAAGCGTTATATTAAATAATTTAACGACCGGAAGTACTTATCACGCCCGAGTTGTCGCATTTACTAAAATCGGTGCCGGTCCTTATTCTCAATCGCACACTTTGATTATGGATCCTAATTTTATACATTCCTATCCTTCGAGGTACCAACTTTTTTGGGGGGTTAGGTTAAATTATTTAAAAAATGAATAAAAAAATTAATTTGATAAAAATTACTATTACAGAGCTCATCCTAGCGAAGGAAGTAGAGTTAGCATAGTACAAGAAACTTGGTTTCTCATATTAATGATTCTCATGGTTTTAACTATAATTTTGGGTTTTGCCGGATTATTTTATTTAAAAAGACGACAAAGTTTAGCCAAAGAATTGGGACACTTGAGCGGTAAGAAGAAGAAGAAGAGGAAGAAAAAAAAAAAAAAAGAAAATTTGAATTGTTAATTGTTAATTGTTGATTGAATTTATTGCAGTACCGGTTGTTAATGCAAATGATATGACGCAATTAAATCTTATCAATGGAAAAGAAACTCTTTGGATCGATAGAGGTTGGCGACAAAATGACAAAGATTCTAATCTTTCCGATATAAAACTTTTAAATCACGATTTAACATCGAATGCAACGGATTATGCAGAAGTTGACACGAGAAATTTATCGACTTTTTATTCTGCTAGAAGAGAACACGAAAATCCTACGCCATATGCAACAACAACACTTATAAACACACTTCACAGAAACGAAATGGTTTGTTCATCTACTTATTTATTTATTTTTTGGTAAGCTGTGTACGAAACGTTGTCGAAATGATTAATTTTTTTTTGTAGGACTCAAATCAATTTTCTGGAATGAGTTTGTGCTGTCCTGGAGGTGATACTAAAACTTGCAGTTCCGGCGGAAGTGATTCTTGCACCAAACCACAACATAGTCCAAGCCCACTCTCAGAACAGGGACTCTATATTGGTAAAATAAAAAATTCATCCTGTGTTAAATTCACCTGTAAACCTGAAGGGTGTAATAAAAAAAAAATTTTCCCTTTTTTTCTGCAGATGAAAATGGGATTTCAAGGTCACAACCGACAAAAATATCAAATCAAAATCGTTGTAAATATCCACTTCCTTATTCAGTAGGCCCTCCTCATCAAAATTACAATCAAAATCCTCCACCTTTACCCAATTGGTCCGAGTTCCTTCCTCCTCCTCCCGAACAACCTCCTCCTAGTCGAAATTTGAGTTCCTTTAATTCTCCACAATTAAGTAAAAGAACGGGAATGTCTTCCGGATCCCATTGCGGGACTCATCGAAGTGGTTCGAGCGGTGCAAGTAATTATGACGGACAACGACGATGTCCGCCACCTAATCAGCATCCACCTCCTGTAAGAATTCAACAAAAATAATAATAATAATAATAATAATAATTTAATTTAAAATTTAAAAAATCAATTTTTTTGTTTTTTTTTTTCAAATAAGGTCCCCAATTTCCCGTCCGGATATAACAATGGTGGTGAAATAGGAAGGAAAATTCACCATCATAAAACCGGAAGTAGTAGCCATCATTCTTGCTGTAATTCTTATGACAATATAGATAAAGGAATTCAGTCATCTTTACCTAGTCTTAGTCAAGATTCCAGGCATAGACATCACACTTGTAAGAATGATTAGTCATTAATAATAATAATAATAATTACGGAACGTCATTTCAATGAGGATTTATATTATTTTTATTTAGGTTCGGAAGAAAACGAAAGGTGGCGTCAACAAAATTGGGATGAAGTCGAACAAATGTCTTGCAGCAGCAGAGAAAACAGCGAAGCTTGTTGTTCTTGCTCGGAATCTTCTTGCTTATATGCAGAAGCTGCGGAAAACAATCAGATACCTATTTGTATCAACCGAAGACAATGTTAAAAAAAAAACAAAAAAACTTTTATCGAGTAATTCATTTTTTTTTTTTTTTTTTAGATATTTTTAATAATTTTTTTAATTTCATTCTTTTATTTTTATTGTAAAGACAAATAACAACAGCAACAATTGCAACATATCATTTGGATAAAATTAAAAAGAAGAATGAAATTTCAATTTTTTTTTTTTTTTTTACTATTCTAATATTTTTATAAAATTTTGATAGAAAAAATTAATTAATTAATTACTCTTTAATAATTATATCAATTTTTTTTTTTTTTTTGGGCCGTTAAAACTGAGAATATTAATTGATGTGGGCCAGTTATAAATAATAATAATAATAATTTAATATTAATTGATAAAAAAAAAAGAAAAAAAATTAGTTGTTTTAATTAGAACTGTAGTTTTTTTTTTTTTATATATATATTAAAGTCTGAATGGATCCCAATTTTTATTAAATTTTTTTTTTAATAAAAACAGTCTCTGCGTATAAAATAAATAATAATTGGGTTGTTATTAAAATTAATTATTAATAATTAATGAGTAATAAGTTTAAAAAAAAAATTTTTTTAATTTTTTAAATTTTGTTTTTAAATTTAAAATAAAATCTGTGATGTTTTTTCTTTTTTTTTTTTTTTTTTATTGTAATTGTTATATTTATTATTTTAGTGTTTCGTTTTATTATTATTATTACTATTATTATTATTTCATTTTTTTTTTAATTGTATTATTTTATTCGTAACGACAAAACGCATTACAAATTAATAATAAATATTTTTCATAGAGTAAATAAAATAATATGTCTTGTATGTAAATTGCAACAATGTCGCGAAGGGGAAAAGGGAAAAAAATAAAGTTGGCAATACTTGATTAAAATTAAAAAAATTCAAATGAAAATCCGTTACGATTTTTATATTAGTATTTAAATTATTATTATTTTATTTTATATAATTATTATATTAATTTGATGAAACTAGTCAGAGTTTTTAAGTGAAAACAAAACAAAAAAATTATTTATTTTCCGGTTTTTTTTTTTTTTTTTTTTTTAATATACAAAAATGTTTTACGTAATAAAAACAAAAAACATTTGCCAAAAAAAAAAAAATTTTTTAACGGTTATTTTTTTCAGGAAATTTTTTTGACGTCATAACGAAAAATATTATAAATAAGTAAAAAAAAAAAATGCTCGACACTGCCATTATGAAAAAAAAAAAAAATTCATATAAAATTATGATTAATTGAAAAAAAAAATAACCGACTAAAAAAATTTATATTTAGATATGAACAGTGCCGAAGTTAAAACTAAAAAAAAAAAAAAAAAT